CACCCTGCGTCTGGGCGTCTCCCACCCTGCGTCTGGGCGTCTCCCACCCACCTATTCACCGCCCACACATTGCCTGTTGCAAAGATGTGTCACCCTCCATGCACCCAGATATGGCACAGGTCACAGCAAGCATTCAGGTTCCTCCCAAAAGGGAGGGAGACAAGTACCCACATGAGTGGTGAGTGCAAGGGACAGCTAACTACCCCTGATGCTAAGTATTATAAGTCTTACAGAAGGAATAGAAAAAATTACTTTGGAAGCATATCAATCTATCTGAAACATGTTCCTTTGAGGAAAGTCAGAAAGAGGTCCAACATAGAAAGAGAACGCAGACGACACTATAAAAGAAGGAAAAAATAATGGAAATGCTTAACCCTTAAATCGCAAATACACACGTATACGATGGGAGTAACTTTCCCAAGACCGAGCAATACATACATATACGATTAAGGGTCTAGCGCACGATTTTAATTGCCTTGCCAGGGAAAGGGGCAGCTATAGTCAAGCCGACCCTGAATGTAAACAAATGCCACCTGGGAAAAACCCAGCGTTGAATGTAATGAAACGCCATTTTCTGGGTGAGCCCCGGAGGCTCCCGGGAGCTTATTGGGCTAATTTTTGTTATATTAGACCGAGACATTAGCTAAGGAGTTCAGACCTACCAGGGACCAGTGCCAGAACCTGGCCCGTTCAGAGAAGTTTCAGGGAGCAATGGAAAACCCCCTTGTGGTTGGGGTTTTCCTTATCTGCCATCAACCTGGGTTAGGCACCCAGAAACGTAGGCATAACAAAACAAACCCCACATGGTAAAAAACTAAAACAAAAAACCGAACAGAGAGGTAGAAACTTCCTACAATCCCAAGGAAACAAGCAAACATTATACTTTACTGCCGCGCCGATCGTCCGCTCAGCCCTCCCCGCCCCGAGAGGGGGAGGGGGAAGCCCCGGACCTACCGCGCCGGCTGCCTAGCTTCAGTTCGGAAGCTAAGCTTCAACCAACGCGCAAAAAACGCCGACCGGTGGGAGGAAGGGTTGCCAGGGCGCCTCCGGGGCTCACCCAGAAAATGGCGTTTCATTACATTCAACGCTGGTTTTCTGTGGGGAGCCCCTATGGCTCCTTGGATTTCATACCCAAAGAGAAGGAAAAGAAAGGGCTGACCTGGGAGGCGGCCGCCACAAACTCCGCAACGCGAAGCCGACACAACAGGCTGCAACCTGCGACCCAAGACAGTAAGAACACACAGGAGCAGACGTGCAAAAAGAATGGGCGGCCAAGAACCTGTGAGACCCTCAAATCCCTGCGACCAAAATGAGCCCTAGACGTCACCAACACAGCCGCAAAAGCTGCAAATGTTCGAAATGCACGGCGCAAGGACAGACCGCAGGCTGGAAGACCCGAGCCTTGAAACAGGGAACGAGGGGAACCGGATCAGCCCAAAGCGCATCCCCAGACACGGTACGCAGGTAACGGCAAAAAAGCGCAACCTGACAACACAGGATGCACCCCCGGCTGAACCAATCAAGCATCAATAACCCAAGAACCCCTCCGGAAAGCAGCCGTCTCGATCGTCGCCAGAAGGACGGAGAAAGGCTGCAAACGTACAAACCTACCACCAGTACCAAGAGCAGAAACCTGAACCAAAGGGGCTACCACAAACTGAGGAGAAGATAAGAAGGCACCCTGATCAAGGACCAGGACGGCTCAGGCGACGCATGAGCAGGCCGGAGGTGAAACAAAACACGAGGAAGCGTACAAAACGGGGCAGATGTGACGTCCACCCCGAACGCAAGTCAAAGCAGCTCCACCAGCGCCGCACAAAACGAGGCGACAGTAAGAAACATCAAATAACTAGTCCTGAAAACCCAAGAAAGGACAAGACAACCCGATGCGAAAGAGAAGACAACCTACGAAGAGCAAGAAAAAAGTGCATAGAAACACGAGGAACGTCATACTGTCGCTAAGATGAAGCTCGCAGGTGGGACACCGTCAACAGAGCCTCATGATTACCACAGAGATGGTGATACCCACGTCAAAATACCAGATGCAAAGAGACGAGGAGAAGGCCGAACCAGTTATGTACAGGACAGGTACGACTTGTTGAAAGAGGTGAAGCCACGGGAAAAATGCCCTGGGTTCGGACACCTATCAAGCAGTGTCTGAAAATACAGCTGGGCCGGCCACCAACGGACCATAAGGACTACTCTCGTGGGAATGGGCTCCAACCAAGCCAGAACCCGAAGCAACAGCTGGACCGGGAGAAGAGGAACAGGTACCCCCACCTTGGCCAGTCCTGCCGAAAGGCATCTACTGTGAACGCCTCGCAGGAGGGTAAGGGAGCCACATAGAATGGGTGACACCTAGACTAAGCCGATTCGAAGACGACCATGGCCAGGAGTCCATACGTCCGGCAGAGCCAACGAAACGAGTTGGCGACGACTGGCCAATCCGTGAACAGAGAAATGAACCGAGACAGCTGTCCACCAGGATGCAGGACACCCCGGACTTGAACCTCACGGTTAGCCAAACCCCGAGAATCCAGCAAACGAGCCACTCTAAGGGACCAACCCCAAAGGTCAAACACCTAAGAGAAACCCAGTGGTTCCAGCAAATAATCGCCAGAGAACAGTCCGAATGGAGCTGAAAGGTAGAGCACCGAATGACCCAAACCCTCCGAAGCGCAAACCAAACAGCCACGAACTCCTGAACCGTGCTGTGAGCCCGATGGACGGACAGACTCCACCATCCCCGGCCGACCTGGTGAGCACTGGTCACAAAGCCCCAGCTGAGAGATACTCGAACACGAGACACTCGAACACGAGACACTCGAACACATCGAGCGAAGGCTCGGGGAAGTGCCAAGGCATGGAACCCCGAAAACCCCAAAGAGGAAGCTAGTGACGTAGCTCCAACACAAGATCCCTGGAGGAACAAACCTAACAATTGCAAGAGAGGCGGAAGGGGAGTCTCCGAAGGAAACAAACAGACGCCGAAGCCAAACCCGACCCCGCTAGCGGACCAGCACGTTGAAGTTTAGACTCCCGCACAACTGCTCGAGTAACCGCCGAGCAACCTGGCTCATGAACAGCCGAAGGGGGGACCACAGCCACAGCAACCCTTCTGGAGAGAAAAACAGGAGTGGCCCAAGAGCCCTAAACAAGACCTTTGTGTCCCCAAAGCCTGGACACATAAACCCAAGCGGGGTGGCTCTGGGGTCTCTAACCGGGCAACCAACCTGGTGCGATGCAAGATTAAGAAGAGTGCTTGCAATGCCGCTGTAGCCTGAATCCTATTATCTGCAGACGAATAATGGGTAACAGAAGCACAAGAGGGGAACTAAACCCGTAAGACTCCAGGTCGTAGGTGACACTGACCCGACAGGCTGCAAGGCGAAGGTAGAAGAGGTGATCGTCACCCAGAGGCGGGGGCGACGAACAACCAGCAACATTGCACAAGTCGAGAGTAAATTCTGATGGACCCACATGATTACCTGAGCCCAAGGGGGTTTTGCAGGGTTCCCAGGGCACATTAGCTCTGCGGGACGCCCAGGCAATGTGACCAGCTAAGCTGGTAGACTTCCTGCTTGTAAACAGGCAAATGGCTACCAGTAGCAGTGGTGAAACCTTGGGGGCAATGGAGTTGGAGAGCCAACACAACCTAGGTTAGCCAAATAAGCAGCTAAGCCGACCTTATCTGTTCAAATAGGAAAAAAAAAAAAAAAGAATAAGTCCCCTGAAACACAACTTTAAGAAAACTAGCAGCCGGAGAAAAACGTTGGCTGTCTCATTGATAAGAACAGACTGCGCCAGCCCAAGCCCCCCCCCCCCACCTCAGCTAATAACACTTCCCTATCCGGGGCAAGACAAAGCTCCAGTACCCTGACGTACCCCAAGGGTGAAGACTACATCAAGCGACGAAGCTCCCATTGGAAAATAAGTCCCAAACATCTAGGGAATGCAACCCTGACACACAAGGGTAGTACTCACGGAGCACCTGGGAAGGGTACTTAGGACACATGCAGCTCCAAATACAAAGAACACCTGGTCACCACACCACGCACACACACACACAGCTGGTACAGCCATACAGGGCAAAATCCAGAACAAGAAAGTGAGGCCAGAGATCACCACTGACCGCCAAGCACATCAGATGAGAACTGAGGTGGTGCCTGCACATCAGACGAGAACTGCCCTGTGTGGGGGTGGGAGGGATATGTTAACGAGCACGAGTACTAGTTGAGGGTAGAGTTGCTAGTTTGTTATTTTCTTCTTCTTTTCTTTAAACAGGAGTTTCTTTGCTCTGGCTGTAGGACGCAATTTTATTGGCTAGTTGTTCGTCTTGGTTCGCCTATCTTTCTGGGTGCTCACCCTGGTTGATGGTGGAATATGACATGCTTTAAATATAAAGTGCTCATATGCCATTGCTCCCTGCACCTCTCTGGGAAGACCAGGTCTAGCTCTGGTTCCTGGTAGGCATAGGAACTCCTTGTGACTGATGACCCCAAACTAATATAGCACATATCAATTCGGATAGCTTTAGGGAGCCGATAGGGCTTCCCCAGAAAAGTAAATTTTTAGAAAATTGGATCAATTTGGAACGATATCATTCATTAATCTTTTAGGTGCTGTTGTATAGATAACTGTCTAATGATAACCAATTACTAATTTGACAGAATGCTGATAATCTACTGCCTGTCTGATTTTAATGACTAATTTAACTTCCTGATAGCTGTTCTTAATATATATCACTATTAAAGCTGAAGCAGACACCGGGAACCTCCCTTCCACCAATGAACCATCAATTATAATGCAACCCACATCCCTAATGATGATATTCTTTGTCCTGTATCTATAGTATATTTGTGTGTTTACAGTATTATTTTTATTTATAAAATTGTATGTTTGACCTTATACCTTTGGTGAAAAAGACACAAGGTGACTTCAGGGTTAAAACAAAATAGTTGCAAAATATAAGGAGAATCATAAAAATAAAATCAGGTAAATTGAATTGCTGTATAACTTGAATGCAGGTTCACTTCACATTATCCAAATAAGTGAGCGATCTCTTTATTGTAAATAGGATTAAGTAATAGAAGGAAAATAAGATAGGACAATTGGAGGTGGTCATAAAAAATACGGGGTAAATCTGAGCATACAGTACATATGAAAATGTACAGCAATTTTTTTTTTAAGATATCAGAAAGTGTCCTGATATCTAATCAGGGCTTATCTGATTAGTTTGTGCTGAAAAGAAAGCAGCATTTGAGCACTTAAAATACACAAGTTACTTCACTTTCTGACATACCGCAATTCTGAATACCATCTGCCATATGACGTCGAATAAAGGACTCCATCCACCAAGTACGACAACGGCATTCTCGAGTTGCTTGAATACATTCACCATGGCCTGAAATGAAGTAATGTAACAGTTTTCTTCAAGCTGCATTACAAAGCTCAGCATTAATTTAAGTGATTATTAATTTCACCACAAAAAAACAGCGTTGAATGTAATGAAACGCCTTTTTCTGGGCGAGTCCCGGAGGCTTCCCGGAGCTATCCATGGCTGATATGGATACCCCTAACTATTTTGCATCAGTCGATGTGGGTCGATGATGTTCTAGGTCTACCGGGGACCACGAGCCAGAACCTGGCCCCCTCACAGAGTCACGAGGAGTAATGACCCATAGAAATGCACATGTGATTTGGAGCATTCTATATCTGCCATCGACCGGGACAGACACCCAGAAAAGTAAGCACCACAAAACAAACTCCTACTTTGGTTAACAACGAAAATCGTCAAACGAGTGGACAGAACTCCCCAAAAGAAAAAGGAGCAAACACGCATGACGTCACACAAGCCGCACGACATGTCTGCGCAGCTCCCCCCACCCCTCCCCAGGAGGGGAAAGGGAGAGCTCCAGACCCCTCACACTGGTGAGGGAGGATTGCCAGGAAGCCTCTGAGACTAACCGAGAAAATGGCGTTTCATTACATTCAACACTGGTTTTCTGGGGGGAGACCCTATGGTTCCCCGTAGCTACTTCACCAAAGACAAAAACAGAGGGACGCATTCGGGAGGCGGTCGGCGCCCACACCACAACACGAAATCAAGACAACAGGCTGCAACAGCTGACCCAAGGCGACTCAGGCCCGACTAGACCCAGGAACATACTAGGGAGCGTGCAGCCAAGACCCAGCGCGACCGCCAAAACAAACCTGAGCCCGAATGTCAGCCCAAAACATGCCACCCAAGATGGCAGCAAGTGCAGAAAGCCTATGAACGTCAAGGGCACGGGGAGAGACTGCAGGCTGGCAAGACAGAATGACCCAGCGGACGACCTGAGAGACCCGAACCCGAAAACAGGGAAGAAGGGAAACCGGATCAACCCAAAGTGCAGCCCAGGCCACAGAGGCCGTGGTGCGCAAAGACAGCGGAGAGCCACAACTGGACACAAGAAGAAGCACCCCGGCTAGCCACCCAGGCAGCAAGAACCCAAGGGACCCCCCTCCAGAAAAGAGCTGTCTCAACCCCACCAGAAAAAAAAAACAGCGTTGAATGTAATGAAACGCCATTTTCTGGGTGAGCCCCAGAGGCTCCCTGGAAGTTATCGGGCTATTGTATGTTATGTTAGACCGGGACATTAGCTATGGAGTTCAGACCTACCAGGGGACCAGCACCAGAACCTGGCCCCTTCAGAGAGGTTTCAGGGAGCAATGGCCCTGGAAAACCCCATTATGGTTGGGGGTTTTCCTTATCTGCCATCAACCGGGGTCAGGCACCCAGAAAGGTAAGCATAACAAAACAAACCCCACATGGTAAAAAACTACAACAAAAAAATGAACAGAGAGGTAGAAACTACCAACAATTCCAAGGAAACAATCAAACAATCAATTTACCGCCGCGCCGGTAGTCCATGCAGCCCTTCCCTCCTCTCCCCGGGAGGGGGAGGGGAAGGGGCCAGACCTCACCGCGCCGGCTGCCTTCAGTTCAGAAACTAGGCTTCAACCAACGCAAAAAAACCCGCCAACCGGATGGGAGGGAGGGTAGCCAGGGAGCCTCCGGGGCTCACCCAGAAAATGGCGTTTCATTACATTCTACGCTGGTTTTCTGTGGGTAGCCCCGGAGGCTCCCTGGAGCTACATACCCAAAGAGAAGGAAATAGGGACTTAACTGGGAAGCGGCGGCCACAAACTCCTGAACGCGAAGTCGAGACAACTAGCTGCAACCTGCGACCCAAATCAACATAAGAACGCCGAGGAGCAGGGACGTTCACCAAATAACGGGCGGCCAGGACCCTGTTCGACTTTCAAAATCCACGCGCCCGAATATGAGCCCAAGACATGTTACCAAACACGGCAGCCAAAGCTGCAAACTTCTGAACGTCATGGGCGCGAGGATAGACCGCAGGCTGGCTAGACTTTATAACTCTGCGGACAACCTGGGAGACCCGAGCCCTGGAACAGGGAACGAGGGAAAACGGATCAACCCAAAGCGCATCCCCAGCCACCCACGCTGAAGCGCGCAGGTAACGGCGAAGTGCTGCAACCGGACACAACACATGATGCACCCCCGGCCGACCCAACCAAGCGTCAATGACCCACGGACCCCTCTGGAAAGCAGCCGTCTCGTTCTTCCCCAGAAAAGATAGAGAAGGCTGCAAATGGGCAAACCTACCCCCAGGACCAAAAGAGCAGAAACCCCTTCGCTGGAGGAGAGCATGAAGCATGAAGCATGAGGCCCCCAGAGGCGAATGCCAACAAAAACAAAGCTTTGGAAAACAATACGGAACCGAAGGGGCCACCACAAACCGAGGAGAGGAAAAATATGCGAGCACCCTGTCCAAGGACCAGGACGGCTCAGGAGGCGCATGAGCAGGCCGGAGGTGAAACATAGCACGGGAAAGCCTACGAAACGGGGCGGATGTGACGCTCACCCCGAACGCTAGCTTGAGCGGCTCCGCCAGCGCTGCACGATATGAAGCGACAGTATTAGGCATCAAATGATGGTCCTGAAAAAGCGACAACATACAAAAAGCCAGAAAATGGCGAAAAGAATGCCAGGAAACTTCATACTGTCGCCGAGACGAAACTCTCAGGTGGGACACCATCAACAAGACACCTGATCACCATAGAAATGGAGATACACCCCCGTCAAAAAGATTAGACGCAAAGAGCAGAGGAGAAGTTCGAATCAGCCCTGTACTGGACCAGGCCGACCTCCTGAAAGAGGCGGAGCCGCAAGAAATATCCCGGGTTCGGGCACCGAGCCAATAGCACTGGAAACCAAGGCTGGGCCGGCTACCAAGGGGCCACAAGGACTACTCTCCCTGGGAATGTCTCCAACTGAACCAGAACCTGAAGCAACAGCTGGACCGGGGGCAAGAGGTACAGGTAACCCCACCTCGACCAGTCCTGTCGAAAGGCAACCACCGCGAACGCCTCGCAGTCGGGGAAGGGCGTCACATAGATTGGGAGACGCCGAGACCACGCCGACGCGAAGAGGTCCACATCTGGGAGACCGTACGTCTAGCAGATCCAACGAAACGAGTCGTCATCGACCGTCCACTCCGTAGACAGGGGAAGGAAGCGTGATAGACCGTCCGCCTGAACGTTGGACACTCCCCGGACATGAACCGCACAGAGAGCCAAACCCCGAGAATCCAGCAGACGAACCACTCGAAGAGACCAGCCCCAAAGAGCCAAGGACCGGAGAGAACCCCCGCGGTTCAGGGAATGAACCACTGGAGAACAGTCCGAATGGAAGCAAATGGTCGATCCCCGAGCTACCTGAACCCTCTGAAGCGCGAACCAGACTGCCGCGAACTCCCGAACCATGCTGTGAGCCCGACGGAAGGATGGACCCCACCGTCCCTGGCCTGCCTGGTGAGCACAGGCCACAAAGCCCCAGCCGAGAGACGACGCGTCCGTGAACACATCGAGTGAGGGCTTGGGAAGGCGCCAAGGCACTGAACCCTGAGAACCCCGAAGAGGAAGCCGGTGACGTAGCAACTGACACAAGGTCCCCGGAGGAGGAACCCAACGATCGGGAGAGAGGCGGAAGGGATGTCCCCGAAGGAACCAAAACAGACACCGAAGCCAAACCCAACCAGGCAGGTAGACTAGCACGGCGAAGTTCAGACTCCCGCACAACCGCTTGAGCAACTGCCGAGTGACCTGGGACCCCCTCAGAAACAGCCGACGGCGGTCCCGCAGCCACAACAACGCCTCTGGAGGGAGAGATAAGGAAGCGGTCCGAGAATCCCAAACAAGAACCAGCCAGGTCAAAACCTGGGACGGAACCAGATGGGACTTCCTCCAGTTTACCAGGAACCCGAACCTGGCGAGCTGGGAAAGAACCATATCCCTGGCGAGCAGACAAGCTGACTGGCTGATGGCAACCTTCGAAATTTTTTTAGTGAGTATAATTGGACAGACTTGTTGCTAGGCAAGGAAGTGAATGAGATGTATGTCGAGTTTTGTGAAATATATGATAAAGGCACAAAAAAATTTATACCAAAACAGAGATGCAGAACTAGGAAACAGGATTGGTTCAACAGAAATTGCGAGAGGGCCAGAGACCAAAAGACACAAAAATGGAATCAATACAGGAAGAGGCCGAACCCCCAAACATACCAGCGATACAAAGATGCGAGAAACAACTACACGGCAGTGAGGAGAGAGGCAGAAAGAAATTTTGAAAAAGGGATTGCAGACAAATGTAAAACAGAACCAGGTCTATTCTATAAATTCATAAACAACAAATTGCAGGTTAAGGATAATATTCAGAGGTTGAAAATGGGAAATAGATTCACAGAAAATGAAAAGGAAATGTGTGAAACATTAAACGAAAAGTTCCAAAGTGTGTTTGTACAAAATGAAATCTTCAGGGAACCAGATACAATAAGAATTCCAGAGAACAACATAGAGCACATACAGGTGTCTAGAGACGAAGTGGAAAAAATGCTCAAGGAGCTAAATAAGAACAAAGCAATTGGTCCAGATGGAGTTTCACCATGGGTTCTGAGAGAATGTGCACCTGAGCTCAGCATTCCACTTCAACTAATTTTTCAGGTATCCCTGTTTACAGGAGTTGTAGCTGATGTGTGGAAAAAGGCTAACATAGTTCCAATCTACAAAAGTGGAAGCAGGGAAGACCCCCTTAATTATAGACTGGTATCATTGACAAGTGTAATAGTCAAAATATTGGAAAAAATAGTTAAAACTAAATGGGTAGAACACCTGGAGAGAAATGATATAATATCAGACAGACAGTATGGTTTTCGATCTGGAAGATCCTGTGTATCAAATTAACTCAGTTTCTATGAACGAGCAACATAGATATTACAGGAAAGAGATGGTTGGGTTGACTGCATCTATCTGGACCTAAAAACAGGCTTTCGACAGAGTTCCACATAAGAGGCTGTTCTGGAAACTGGAAAATATTGGAGGGGTGACAGGTAAGCTTCTAACATGGATGAAAATTTTTTTGACATAGAAAAATGAGGGCAGTGATCAGAGGCAATATATCGGACTGGAGAAATGTCACAAGTGGAATACTACAGGGTTCAGTTCTTGCACCAGTGATGTTTATTGTCTACATAAATGATCTACCAGTTGGTATACAGAATTATATGAACATGTTTGCTGATGATGCTAAAATAATAGGAAGGATAAGAAACTTAGATGATTGTCATGGCCTTCAAGATGACCTGGACAAAAGTATATAGAGCACCACTTGGCAAATGGAATTTAATGTTAATAAATGCCATGTTATGGAATGTGGAAAAGGAGAACATAGACCTCACACAACCTATATATTATGTGGGAAATCTTTAAAGAATTCTGATAAAGAAAGAGATCTAGGGGTGGTTCTAGATAGAAAACTATCACCTGAGGACCACATAAAGAATATTGTGCGAGGAGCCTATGCCACGCTTTCTAACTTCAGAATTGCTTTTAAAGACATGGATGGCAATATACTAAAGAAATTGACCACAACTTTTGTTAGGCCAAAGCTAGAATATGCAGCGGTTGTGTGGTGCCCATATCTTAAGAAGCACATAAACAAACTGGAAAAGGTGCAAAGACATGCTACTAAGTGGCTCCCAGAACTGAAGGGCAAGAGCTACGAGGAGAGGTTAGAGGCATTAAATATGCCAAAACTAGAAGACAGAAGAAAAAGAGGTGATATGACCACTACATACAAAATAGTAACAGGAATTGATAAAATCGATAGGGAAGATTTCCTGAGACCTGGAACTTTAAGAACAAGAGGTCATAGATTTAAACTAGTTAAACACAGATGCCGAAGAAATATAAGAAAATTCACTTTCGCAAACAGAGTGGTAGACAGTTGGAACAAGTTAGGTGAGAAGGTGGTGGAGGCCAAGACCGTCAGTAGTTTCAAAGCATTATATGACAAAGAGTGCTGGGAAGACGGGACACCACGAGCGTACCTCTCATCCTGTAACTACACTTAGGTAATTACACTTAGGTAATTGCATTTGGGAACCAGGAGTGGTGGAGGGGGGGGGGGGATGGGTAAGGGGAAGTAGCAGGAGGAACAACCTGTGAAGGACAAGGGATTGCGGACTGAACCAAAGTCAAAGCAACTAACGACCCCATGTCCAGATCCATATAACCAAAATGGGGAAGACTCAGCCAACCTAGTGCGTTGCAGCATCCTAAATCTAGCATGCAGCGTTGACGTTGCCTGTACCCAAACCTCAGTGTCAAGAGAATGGGTAAACTGAAGGACAAGCAGAGAACACGACTTGCAAGACTCCAGGTCAAAGGTGTCATTGACCTAACAGGCAGCATGACGGAGGCAAAGCAGGTGACTGTCACCCAGAGGCAAGGGCAAAGAGCAACCTTCAAACTCTCACAAGGCGAGTTGGAACTCAGAAGATGCATCCATCGGTCAAATGAGCCCCAATGGAGATTTCCAGGGCCTGCAGGTTGACTGCTATGGGAAGTCCAGGCAAGGTACTGCAAAACTGGCTAGGCCCAAACTAACAAGGGAAAACTGCTAAAGCTGAACTCCTGCGATGTGTACAGTCACAAGGGACTAGAGTAAGGCCCCCAGAAGGAACAGAAACCGGCCGCTGTGTAGGCAGGCGAGTTGCACAGTACCTTGTGCCCCTATTAGCAAATGATACCCTCTCCTACCCAAAGCCAAACAAAGACCACGAAAACTCCAGCTTGCCCAAAGGGCGGGGTAATTGCCAAGAAGCAGAGACCCCCATGGAAGCGGTTCCCGAAAGTTCTATGGAAGATAATCCTAGAACCCAAGAGTAGTACTTACAGGGCGCCTAGGAGGCATGCAGCCCCAGTACTCTTTAAGTTTCTCCTAGGCACTGCACCACACACAGCAGAACACACCACTAAGATACACAACTGCCAAGAATATGAGGCCAGACTCGCCGACCGCCCCAGATCGCATCTGCTAATAAACTGAAATTGTTGAGTAGCCGGCGCAGGGGGTTCCAGGGCTCCCCCCTTCCCCTCCTGATGAGGGCTGCTTGGACAAGCGGCGGAGTGTGACGTTTGCATGTTTGCTTGTTTCTTTAGGTTGGGGAGTTCTGCCTTTCTGTTCGGTCTACAGTTGCAATTTTCTTACCATGTGGGGTCTGTTTTGTTATGGCTACCTTTCTGGGTGTTAACCCCTGGTCGATGGCAGACATAGAATGCCCTAAGTACAAGGGGGGTTTCCATAGGCCACTGCTCCTTTTGGCTCTGGAGGGGGCCAGGTTCTGGCTCGTGGTCCCCGGTATGCTAAACTCCAATTGACTGATGCCCCAGACTAATATAACATATATCAGCCTAATAGCTCAAGGGAGCCAGAGGGGCTCCCACAAAGTAAATATACCTTTTGAAGTAATATGTATTACCTGAACAGTTATTCTGACAAACAACTGTATCTACAGAAAGAAGGTGAAGATCCAACAACTCAGATGATTCTGACATCACCTTGTGTCGTAGCATTGACACAACATCTGGTCCCTTCAAAACCTCTTTACCAGCATAAGCCAGAAATGTTAGTGTCACACGACCTGTGGAAAGAAAAATTCTGTATAGATACAAGTAGATTTTCTTGGCTACCACCCTTGGTACCTCACCTTAGTATGTCACCGATACAGAGAGGACAATGAAAATACACCAGGCTCCATATATATATAGCTAGACTCACTATACGTCAGGGACCTCATGGGGGATCAGAAATCAATCCACTAACAAACTGAATTATCCACAAAAAAAAACAGCATTGAATGTAATGAAATGCCATTTTCTGGGTGAGATCCGGAGGCTCTCCAGAGCTTACTAGGCTGATATGCTAATGTCAGACTTTGGCATCAGTCATGTGTATGGGTTCTGTGGGCTTACCGGAGACCACAAGTCAGAACCTGGCCCCCCTCAGAGAGGCATGAGGGAGAAATGGCAAACCCCCGTGTGGTTGAAAGCATTCTATGTCTGCCATCGACCAGGTCAGGCACCCAGAAAGGTAAACATCCCAAAACAAACCCCTATTCTAGTGAAAGTATTGTTATCAAAAACCAAACAAGTGAATAGAACTCCCCCTAAAAAATAAGAGCAAACTAGCATGATGTCACACGTCGCTGTCTGCGCAGCACCCCCCCTCCCCAGGAGGGGGAAGGGAGAGGCCCAGACGCCCCCCCCCCCCCCCCGTCATGCCAAATATCCATCCTTCAGTTCTGAGGCTGGATGTCAAAACTTGCAAAAATCCAGCGTTGAATGTAATGAAACGCCATATTCTGGGCGAGTCCCGGAGGCTCCCAGGAGCTTACCAGGCTGATATACTAATGTCAGACTTTGGCATCAGTCATGTGTACGGAGTTCTTATGGGCCTACCAGGGACCATGAGCCAGAAACTGGCCCCCTCAGAGAGGCAAGGGGAGCAATGGCCTATAGAAACCTCCGTATGGTTGGAAGCATTCTATGTCTGCCATCGACCGGGTTAGGCACCCAGAAAGGCAGGCATCCCAAAACAAACCCCTATTCTGGTGAAAATTGCAACAAAAAACCAAACTAGTGGATAGAACTCCCCAAACAAAAACGAGCAAACTAGTATGACGTCACCCATCATCGCGCCGCTGTCTGTGCAGCCCCCCCCCCTCCTCGGGATGGGGAAGGGGTAGCCCCAGACCTACCATGCTGGCGATCCACACCCCAGTTCTGAGGCTGGATGTCAAAACACGCGAAAAACTGCCGACCAGAGGGAGGGAGGGAGGGATGCCGGGGAGCCTCCGGGGCTCACCCTGGTTGATACCTGGTTGATACCTGGTTGCACCCAGAAAATGGCGTTTCATTACATTCAACGCTGGTTTTCTGGGGGGAGCCCTTACGGTTCCCCGGAGCTAACTACCCACAGAGGAAAAGAAGAGGGACTGACCCGGGAGGCAGTCGCTGCACACTACTCAACTCGAATTCGAGACAACAGGCCGCATCCGCCGACCCAAAGCGACACAGGCCCGACTGGGCCCAGGAACGTGTACAAGGTAACGAACAACCAAGGACCCAGTTCGACCGCCAAATTCCCGGTGCCCGAACATCCTCCAAGGACGCGGAACCAAAGACGGCGGCAAGAGCCGCGAACTTGTGGACGTCATGGGCACGGAGATAGACCGCAGGCTGGAGAGCCTTAAGAACCCTGCGGACAACCTGGGAGACCCACACCCTCGAACAGGGAAGAAGAGAACTGGAGCAACCCAAAGCGTGTCCACGGACCCAGAAGCCGTGGCGTGCCAACAACGGCGGAGAGCCGCAACCGGACAAAAACAAAATGCACCCCCGGCCCAACCAACCAAGCATCAACAACCCAAGGACCCCTCCGGAAAGCAGCAGTCTCATTCTTTGCCAGAAAAGAAGGAGAAGGCAGCAGACGACCAAACTCATCACCCCGACCAAAGGAGCAGAAAACCCCTGCACAGGAGGAGAGCATGAAGCTCACCTACCCGACCCCCAGAGGCCAATGCCAACCGGAAAAGAGCCATCAAAAAACAAACCGAAACCGAAGGGGCCACAAGAAAACGAGAAGAAAGAAAAGAGCACTCTGTCCAATGACCAGGACGGCAAGAACAGGCCGGAGGTGAAACAAGCACAAGACAGCTTATGAACGGCGCAGATGAAAGTCCGAAAGAAAGCCGAAGCGGCTCCACCAGCCCCGCATAAAACGAGGCGACAATATGCGGCAAGTCGACGGCCCCCCAACCCACAGCAGAAAAGCCAAGCCAACGCCGACAAGCGCAGCCACCGAAGAAGGGACAGAAGTAAAAGGAAGGACCACCAAAACACCTCATACTGCCGCCAAGAAGCACACAGGTGGGACACCAACAACGAAGCCAGCTGACCACTAACGGACGCGAGATACCCGAGGCAGAACGTAATCAGCCCTGCCAAGGGGTCATCCGAGCCTAGGAAGAGGCGGGGCCGCAGGAAGATCTCGGGTGCAACCACCAAGGAAGCAGGGCCAGAAGCCCAAGCCGGAAAGAAGGAGATGGAACGTCTGCCGAACAGAAAACTCCCCAATGCGAGCAAGCTCGCCAGGGGATCGGAAACCACGGGTCCGATGTGAGACACCAGAGAAGGGACATCGCAAGACCCTGAAAAAACCAACAGGCAGGGCAAGCCAGGAAATCAGGAAACCAAACCCCGGCAACAGGAAGGCCAAAAGGCACAAACAAAACACACAACAGTGTTTGGAAAGGAGGAGGAGGAGGAGGAAGGAAAGGAAAGGAAAGTTTGAAGGAGGAAATGATAAAGACTAGCAGAAACGCCCCAGCACCAGCGGCCAGGGACAAGAGTGAAGCAGGAAGACGAGAGGAATGCATAAGGAAGGGAAGTGGCAGAGGCCAACCGCTCGCCCAGCGTCTAGTGCAGAAAAGAGCCCAATAGGCTCCGGAAATGGAACAGAGAGCGAATGATAGGCGAGGGGCGAGACGAAGAGCCCAAGCTTATCCCTAGCCAACACAACTAGGCGAGGACAATGCGGTTAGGACAGAGAATCCAAAGAACATGGATGCAGAACACCAGCACGTGTGCACACTGCCCTGAACCAAAACAATCTCCCACGGCGCATGCGCAGGACACGAAAGAAAAGTAGCCCAACAGGTTGGACTACACAGGTCTATCCTACTCCGTCCAACAACAGAGCAGAAAAGTAGCTCAACGGGTCGTATCCCAAACGATCCGTTGAAGAGACAGGCCAACTCAGGGAAACAGAAGCCAACTTAGCCGGCTCATGAAAGGAAATCAACGAACCGAATCGGAATCCAAGCGGGTTACCAGTAGCCCAACATGGCGACAAAGAGCCCAACCGGCTACAAGTATCCCAATCCGACATCCCGGACCAGAACGGAAGGAAAACGAGTAGTGCCGAGACACCGCACGGAGAGACGGGATATGAACAAAGAACGAGAAGGTCAAAAACCCAGAAGCTGCCCGGAATAGGACCAACAAGCCCTAGAAAGTACCAGAGGGAAGCCCCACCGAACGATGACAGACGTACCAGTAAAACGGGAAGAAGCAAAACCGTCCCGAACCTTCGAGAACACAGAAGCAAACACAAAGGACGAAGGCACAGAAAAACCCAGTAGCACCCGAGACCAAAAGTCATCCAGAACCCCAAGAAGAGGGGGACATGACGGAGAAGTCCTGTCCCGGGAAAAATGGTGCGAAGAACGGAGAAAAGCACCCACCAACAGAACGGAAGCAATGGGCATAATGGACAAGGAACCGAGCCCGGGGAGGGGCCGACGCTCAAGTACTCGTGCGGAGAGGGGGGGGGGGAAAGGAAAAAACCCCACTCTACAAAACGCAAGCCCCGCCTAGAGGGGTGGAAAAACCCCGGCGGGGTCCAACAGGGCCTGAGGTCCCCCATGTCAGCCCCACCCCAGCCCCGGGATCCCACCTGGCAGGCCCCGGGGCCGAGCTTTCCCCCAAAGCCCCAGCCTCAAGAAAAAACCGGGGCAGCCGTGAAAAGCACCAAGGAAGGGAGCCCACTGGCAGACTCTTACAACACGGCTGGAAGAAACAGGCTCGAATGTCCCCTTTGCTACCCTGGAAGGGAAAGTCCCAGAGACCAACCGAGTCTCAAAACCATGGAAGCCCTGCCCTGACCCCGAACCCACAGACGGTATAGACCTGGAGGAAAGGGGGGGGGGACCAACAAGACCACCAACCAAAACGGGGCAGCCTAGGGGCTTCCAGGGAGCAAACAACCAGCGCGTTGCCACCAAAACCCAATGTGCAACACCCATTGCAGCCTGCACCCACATAGTCAACATAAGACTGGGTAACCGAGTCACAAACAAGCAACAAAACTTGCAGGACCCCGGACCGAAGGTGTCACCGACCCCACAGGCTGCAGACGGAGGTAAAACAGTGCGAGTCACCCTGAGACAAGGGGACTGAGCAACCCTCAAACTCGCACAAAGCGAGGGGAAGACTCCAGCGCTACATCCATCGGGCCCACGCTCCCCCTAGGAGTTTCCCAGGGTCCTGAGCATTTACTAAAATAGGACTTGCGCTCAGTTAATCCCAGGCAGGGTACTGCTAACCAGCGCCCATGGCTACCAAACAACGTTCTAAGAGCTGAACCCCCGGGACATGTACACTCATGGAGACCTAGCAGGGGGAACCACCAGAAGAAGGAAGAGAACCCAGCACAAAGGGGGAAAGAACCAAAGGCAGAGCCCCCCACCAGGTAGACAAACAAAAAGAAAAAGAAAACCCCGCAAGAGTACAGCGAACCCAAGCGGAACAGAGCCAGGCAACTATGATTGGTGAAAACAAGCTGCGCAGCACCCTGCGCCCCGCCAGTGCAAACTGCCCCTTACCCTAAGGCGAACAAGGGAGACAGAACCCCCAATCACACAATGGGTGGCCAAAAACCGAGCAGCAAACGGCCTAGCAGAAGTAGGACCCAAGGAACTTGTGGAAGGTAACCCCAAGCCCCAAGGGCAGTACTTACAGGGCACCTAGGGAAGGGAACCCTAGGCGCATGCAGCCTGAGTACTGGAGACTCACTCCCAGC